CAACAAAAACCAAACAAAATACTACTGAGCCTAGTTTAACCGATTAAATTCATAGTTCTCGTGATATGATTAAATTTATTACAAATTTTACAATTTAAAGATTTAACATCTGTTAAAGCAAATGAATGTGTAGTTAAATGTGGTCGATGTTGTATTAGGGTGTTATGTGTTTTTAAACCTAAATGTGAGTTAGTGCGTTCTAAAATTTTAACTTGTTGTCGAATATATTTAATTAAATCTTCAGAAGATGGAATATCTTTATTAATTAAATTTTCAAATGATTGTTTAATTTGAGGATCTAGCTTTTTTAATGCCATATGAAGAAATATGAAATCCGAGAGGTCAGTTATATTTAAATGTTTCAAATTATTTAATTGATTGGAATTATTAGATGCAACTTTAATATCAATTATATTATTTAAATAAAATGTACCCAATGCACCTTTATCTTGATATTTTTTTACCAACGAATTCCAAATTGTTAAATAATTTTCCTCATTAGGAAGAATTCCCGATAAAACAGTAAGTGACCTGCCACTTAACTTTCCCACAAGATAATGAACTTTTTGCGAATCATTTAAATTTGAATTAAGATGAATATTAGATTTAAATGCTTCAAAAAACAAAGGCCAATTTTCAGGATTCCCATCAAATTTAGGTAATTCAATTGGGGGTAATTTAATTTTACTTCCTTAATTTGGCTATATAAATTTACAAAACTCGACCATTTTTCAAAACTAGGAATATATTCTGAATTTATACCCAATTCTAAATTATTACCTTGATCTGTTAAATTATTATATTGATCATATAATGTATCTAAAATTGACGTATTTGACATACATTTCTGTGTATTCCTAGTTTCTGCCTTTGAAACCTTTTTGGCATTGTTATTATAATTTAAAAATATATTAAATATTGCGTCTCTTTTTGCATTTATGGCTAATAATCATTATTATAATGACATATTTGACATTTTATAATTAATATTAATATTTGACATTTTATAATTAATTTAATTTAAATTCAATTTTTAACTAAATAAATAAAATTTTATTTTTTAAGTGGACTGTATCAAAAAATGGATTTCAAAATCCGGTTCGTATGGGCCAAAATATGGTGTATCAATGCACCACAGGTTAATAAAAGAAGAGATTGTACTTACAGTAACTGTTATATTCCTTTATTTTGTTATCTATATATAGATAGATATATATGTATAATTATTTATAATAGTAATATTATCAAACAAAATAGAGAAATATCTGGACATAGTGCGTTTTTATTAAAATTAATATTGAAAAAAGTGTTATAATATGGATAATAGATGCTTTCAGTCCTTGATAACATTTAGGGATGTAGTTTAAGCGTTGGTGTTTTAAATTAAACTTATAGTCACTGTCCAGAAAATGTTTATAGGAAACAGAAGCGGTCCTAACGTGTCTATTCTTTTTGTGACATTTAACCACTGTTTGCACAAATCAAAGTTTTTCGTGAATCGATTATAAATGTATACATTTAATGTTTTTATTTAAAGGGTTTTTCTTGGACTGGTCCAAATTGCATCCAAATATGCCACACCGCATTTTAATAAATGCAAATGGCACGACGCAAACTAAAACACAAACAAAACAAGTTAACGCAATACAAAAACAATAATAAACAAACAGAACAGGTTAACACAACGCAATAACAATAATTTGAGCATTGAGAAGTAATTCGAACCTTACCGAACGCAAACACAACAAGTTAAACAAAAAAAAGCAAGTTAACATCCAAAAGCATCGAAAAAACAAGAATTTTAGCAGCAGATAATTAAAAAGCACATTAAAGACTTAAAAACACTCATCAAGTGACGTATTTAAGCCCCGCCCAACATGCGCACCATCCTATCTTAAGGTGTGTGTATCTTAGAGATGGGAAATACCGTTCCACTACGGTACCGTTCCAAATGATACCGCGACAAAAAAATACCGCGATAAAATACCCTACACCTATCACTTGTTTAGTTTTATGACCGGCACCTTAAGTACTTCGTGTTCTTTGTTGCTATAAATAAAAACGATGTTCAAAGTTTTAATAGTTCTGTATTGAAAAAACACAAAAAAGAGTTTACCAAACTCATGACAAATACTAATTCGCTCTCCCCTCATGGTTAAAATCGCGCTATTCTTTACTACAAACTTAAAAGGCGACGCGAACGAAAAGTAACCGAGTGCAGGGAACAGCGACACAGCGCTCTGAAGCCCCTGCAGCGACTTGCTTCGTAGACCCTCTAGCAGTTACAAAGTAACCGGTGCTTTCGGCGTGGAACGCAATACCGCGACGGTATTAAAAAATACCGCGACAATATAACAGTTCCGCAGATACCGTCCCATCTCTAATGTATCTTGGTTGCCACGTAACTAAGAGTTACTTGATCCTGTATTTTTATGGCTTTAATTTTATTTATTTTATTTTATTAATTTTTGTTTATTTAGTGTCTGTTTAGTGTCTAATAGTGTTTGCAGATAAAATATTGTGCCTATAATGTGAATTTTAAAAATGTTTTTATTTTGTTTGAATGGTTGCTTGCCCTGGTCGTTATCCAATTTCTCTTTTCACAAGTAATACTTATCCGCATGCATTTACTTTCCGCACTGTCGAGCGTGCGGAAAATAAGTGAGCGGAAAAGTGCACATTATTTGACTACATTAAAAATTAAAATTAACCATAGGTACCTAATATTAATGATTAATTTATACTCTGTACTTTTTGTAAAGCCTATCTTATTTAAAAAAAAACAATGAGATTGATATTTAGGTAACAATAAATAAAAATAATTTTTTTGGATAGACTTTGGCAGAATTATTTTTTACACACAACAAGAATGGTTGTGTAATCTGTGCTTTTGTTTTATTGTAAATCGATTTTTGTCCAGTAATTTAATAAATAATAGTTATTTATGTATTAAGGGCATAATAAGGTTTTTAAAAACCAGTTATGCCAGCAATGCATACAAAACTTTATGCACGATTAATATATTATTATTTTTAATATATTATTGTTTTTAAAGACGTTTACGTCAAAGAATTTTTGTTATAATTGTCATATTATAATGTCATCGTGCATAATAGTTATTTATGTATTAAGGGCATAATAAGGTTTTTATGGTTCGAGGCGCTATTTCGAGCCCGAGCGCGTTAGCGCGAGGGCTAGAAAAGCGTCGTAGGACCATAAAAACCAGTTATGCCAGCAATGCATACAAAACTTTATGCACGATTAATATATTATTATTTTTAATATATTATTGTTTTTTAAAGACGTTTACGTCAAAGAATTTTTGTAATAATTGTCATATTATAATGTCAACTGACATCAGTCAGTTTTAAAGTTTAAAGATGAATGAAATTGAGGAAGCAGCTGAAAAGGCGAAAAATTGCGGCCTGCTGCCGAAAAAATCAAAATCTTTATATGAAAAAACTTACTTCGAATATATCAAATGGTGTAACATTGTTGTTTTTAATTTTTGACGTTTCATTATAGCCCGCTGGGCCATAATAACGCCCGCGGGCTATAAAAAGACGTTTACGTCAAAGAATTTTTGTTATAATTGTCATATTATAATGTCATCGTGCATAAATATATTTATTATATTATATACATATTAGGGTGTTTCATTTAAAACGAACAATTTTTTTTTTCTTGCTGACACATAAAAATTTTGTTTTTTAGGATGATAAAAAAATTCCCTGAAAATATGGGCCCTTAATTTTGATTCTAAGTACTTCCTTTTTAATTTTGTAGTTTTTCCATATAAAATGCATGTATTTTTAATAATTTTTACTTTAAATTTCTATATTTTGGCCAAATTTGAATTATAATTTTAATCACCATAATTTTCTGCATAGTATTCACGGTTTTTGGAAGGCCCTGCATTAATTTTGTTTTTGATTTATTTACGTTGATTGTAGTAGCTCTAAAATTAGTTTTTTCACTTTTTCTCACATATTTTTAAGAAAATCGAGCGAATGACTGGTTTTACCAAAAAAGTTCAAATGAAAAAGTTGTAGGAAATTTAATTTTTGACAAAAAAGGTTCTTACGTTCATATCACTAAAGTGCTTTGTTTAAGAGATATAAGCAATTCAATAACCAAAAACAAAGAAAAAATAGGTTTTATTGAAATTTATTTATAATATAATATACATACATAAATCTCTTAAACAAAGCAATTTAGTGATATGAACGTAAGAACTTTTTTTGGTCAAAAATTAAATTTCCTACAACTTTTTCATTTGAACTTTTTCGGTAAAACCAGTCATTTGCTCGATTTTCTCAAAAATATGTGAGAAAAAGTAAACGACTTTTGGAGCTACTACAATCAACGTAAATAAATCAAAAACAAAATTGATGCAGGGCCTTTCAAAAACCGTGAATAGGTACTATGCAGGAAATTATGGTGATTAAAATTATAATTCAAAACCCGGCCAAAATATAGAAATTTAAAGTAAAAATGATTAAAAATACATGCTTTTTATATGGAAAAAATACAAAATTAAAAAGGAAGTACCTACTTAAAATCAAATTTAAGGGCTAAAATTTTCAGGGAATTTTTTTTTCAACCTAAAAAACAAAGTTTTCATGTGTCAGCAAGAAAAAAGAATTTTTCGTTTTAAATGAAACACCCTAATACATATGTATATAAGTAAGCAAGGTTATGATAAAAAGTCACTTCTCATGTTACATTGAAATTAATTTATTAGAAAATAAATACAAATTAAAAACAACTTTATTTTATAGTGCAACCGAGTGTACGTGGAAAGTTAGTTATAAACATATACCCAGATAACATTTTCTGACTCACGGATAAAATGGAGTGAATGATTCACATAGTGAAAGCATTTATGCAGTCAAAGTGAATTCACGGAAACGATTCCGATTCTATTTTTAAATTCGGCGCGCTCTTCCTGCGTTCATGAAGCTTTACTCGAGTAGAGTTAATATGGTGTCGTGTAAACTCATAGTGCTTGATTTATTTTATGCCGTCATGAACGACTCTGAGTAAAAACAACTTAACCTTATTTTCTGACATTTTAAATTTGAATTATGTATAAATAACATGTAAACTTAAATTATATTTTATTATATTTAATATGGATAGAGTTAAAAAACTTTCAGCGTTGACTTTAATTGTCTCTTTTGTGGTATCTTTATCATCTATAATAGATTTTTCTGGTTGCAGCCATTGAAGTTGTTTAACTAAAATGTTTATGTTATTACTTATAAAATAAAAGTAATTATGGGAAATACATACGCATATTATCTTGAACCAGTAACAATCCGTCTTCGTTATAGATGATATTACCCTCAGGGTCAGTCACAATGGTATAATTATCCATTATTTAATTAATTTAGCAACTATATAACAAATAGCAACGATTTCTATATAAACACAAACACAAATAACCTCAATTCAAATTCAAATTTGAAAATTCAAATTCAAATTTGACAATAACATACTACAATGCGCATGCGGAGTTATTTTAACGCACCTACAAGAGGTGGGTTAAAAATGTAAACTCGGTGTTAAATATCCTGGTAGTCACGAACGATTTAGTCAAGTTAAAGTGTAGATACCGCTGTTGTAATGAACGTTTTGAGTTAACTCCGAGTGAATCGAGTAAACGTCATGAACGCACCCCAGGCGTTGTTTACCCGGTATAATCATAACCTCACTATTTTTAATTCTCTTTTTAGTTGGTTTGTTCTGTGATCATCACATTACGCTTTTTCTAAATTTGGCTGGGCAAATAATATTAAATATTGATTTAATTAATTAATTTATGCTTATTATAGCGGTAAGTACCTACTTAAAAGTTCATAAATATATATTTTGATACCTACGAAGTCAAGTAACAGAAAACAAAGTAAATGTATTTTTTTTAAAATACTATTTTTACTTGTAAAAAATTATTTTTATGAATCAATTAAAGCAAATCAGGTACCTTTTTTTCGGTTACTCAACTTTGTATAGAAATGAAAACACTAAAAATCCTAGACTTTTTGACATAATGGTGTTGCATAATTATGCAAATATTTATGAGTACGTACCATAATACGTATTATTATTATACGTATATGCCATTAAAGGTTAAGCGTATATTCTTTTTATTGGCATATTTAAAATTTGTTGGGTAATCAGTATACCTATACCTGATGTTAAATCGATACCATAGTAGTGGGTTGTGCTGTTTCCGAGGCTGTGTCATTTTTTGCTTTTTTTTATTTTTGGGTACCTAGGTACATGTAGTATGTATAATTTAAAGAAATTTATTTATAATCTTTTGTTTTAAGATCAATTTAAGGCAATTTTTAATGTATACGTCTCCGATAACTTAGGTTATCTGAGTAATTAAATCAATCACCTTTAAATTTCTTTTAAAATATTAGAACATCCCTTAAATAAATAAATAAACCATTTTTTATAGGATTTAATATATTATATTATATATACCTATTATAAGGTTTTTCTTTATTTGGAGTTTTTATATACAGGGTGTCCCTGTTTGTTTTGTAAAGCATAATACCACATTCCTGGGACTAAAATAATATATATTATGTCCATTTGGCCCAACTAGCCTATAAACATAGTTGCTTTGTTTAGCTGCTAGGGGCCTTAAAAGTTTTTTAAAACGCGTTAATAAATTTTGAACATTTTAACTTTTAATTACAATTTAAAAATAGTTGGTCACCTTGGTTATATTTAAGGTGACCAACTATTTTTGTACAAAAGAAGTACAGGGTGGTCCACGTAAGGTGATAATATTATAATATACTATATTATATACTTGCATATACTTATCTCAGAAAAACATTGTTTAGCCTAAACCAATCAAAATTTTATTAGAGAAAAAAAGCCTGCAAATTAAGTTTGTTTTTTATTCAAAAAAATGATACTGCATTAAAAATTGAAGGCTTGGAAGTGAAAAGTGGTATCATATTTTTTTTTTAAATTGAGTTTTTTTGTATTTTTTTTGGCTTTATAAATAAATTGAAAAAATTGTAATTAAAAACTTTTATTACAAAAGGGGTCAAAATTGATTAACGCCTTTCGGGTTATTTAAAAAATATATATTATGCAAATTATGATGTATATGTATATTGTAATCCAAACTAAAAATTCTATCCTGTCGACGCATATTATGCATAAATGTTAATTAACTTAACTACTTATATATCAATAAAAGGCATGTGTGAAAGAAGTTTTGTAACAAATATGTTTAATATAAAACATAAACATAAAACATTTCCCAAGATAATATGTTTGTGTTGCAAACTTTAATGAATTTTGAAAACATTAAAATAAAATTACAAATTCTTGAATGTTTTAAAAAAAAATTGTTACCTGGATACTGAAAAAATTAGATAAAAAATCTCTAATATCTAAAAACAATGTTTCAATAGGGATGGTTTTTAAAAGGGATTGATTAAATTTTGAAATATTAAGTATTTTTGTATTTTTTAAAAATTTAAATCCTTAGTAAACGTTACATTTATTTCTTGAATTGTAAATTCACATTAAAATGGTTTATTTTCGAAATTTGATAATAGTTTGAACAAAATTTAATTTTTTTGCAATTGAGGAGCTTTAGGCCAAAACAATTGGTGACATTATTATATTTTTCTACATTAGATAGGGAGAGGGGGTTGTGTTGTCAAAATAAAAATTCAGATAAATGTTATGTGACTTCTGACAGGGGTGGGTTGGTCAGGAGTTTGTGACGACTTGCGACATAAAACTGGTCAAAAATTGCGTGACCTAATATGGCAATAAAATATATTTAAAGAACCTAAAAAAGTAATTTACTTTTCAATACACTTTTAGCTACAATGAAAAGGTTAGCTGACCTTGGTCCTGTGCAAAAAAAAGACGGTCTGTATTGATAGAACTTAATAGACGGCGGCTATTACCTATGCAAATTTTGGAAAATAACGCGACCGATTCTGACAATGAGAAATCTCGTGAAAGGCCTCAGATTGCCGTAGATGCTGGATCTCATTCCTTACTTGACGAGGACCTAGAGGAAGACGTAGCATCGAATCATGAAGTTAACGGGCATGAAAATGATGATATAATTTCGGATAAATCAAGTCGAACAGAGAGTGATGATAACAATGAAATTGATGATTAGAATAATCTTGATTTAATTAGAAATGCTCAAGAGGGAGATCGTAATAATGAAATTTTGCAGAATCCTGCACTCTTTGGAAAAAAGGCATTTAAAAACGCATGCCTCTCTGCAAATTTAAATCACAGTCAAATAAAAATATTGCTTACGACCCTCCGAGGCCCTCCATTTGATCTTGATTATTTACCGAAAGATCCACGAACCCTTTTGCACACCCCAAAGATTCGGGTTAAAAATGTTGTTCGTGAAGTAGCTGGTGGATCGTACTTGCATTTTGGCTTAAAAAAGCTTATTCTACAGCAGCTGCTTACCCTTCCTCTTAACGAACTGCCGGAATGTCTGATTATCGATATAAGCACTGATGGTGGTAGGCTTTTCAAAAGTTCAAATGATCAGTTTTGGCCTATACAGTTTCGGATTTTTAATATTCATCCAAAAAAGCCCATCATTGTTGGCTGTTATATTGGTAAAAAAAAGCCTTCTAATCCATTTGATTTCATGGAAGAATTTACTTCTGAAATCAATGAAATTATTGAAAATGGTGGTGTGGTTATAGGGAGTCAGGTACTGCCTTTAAGGGTGAGAAGTTTCATCGCAGACAGCCCTGCGAGAGCTTTTATTTTAAATCATAAAGGACACAATTCAGCCGAGGCCTGCTCCAAATGTAAAGTTGAAGGTCGATATTGTGTAAATCATGGATTTGAGCGCACGCGAGTTTTTCCCGATAGTGATAACAGACCACGCACAGACGATGAATATCGAGCACTTGTGGACGAAGATCATCATAAAGGACCAAGCCCTCTTTCCCCCTTTATGGGTCTCGTTTCTCAGGTTCCATTTGAGGTCATGCATCTCTTATACTTGGGGGTTTTTAAGAGAATTATCTCCGCCCATATTGACGGTGAACTTGGTTTTAGGCGATTAAATGGAAGGAAAATCACTATTCTTGATTCCAGAATGGAATCGTTAAGAAACTATTGTCCCTCAGATTTCAATCGCCGTTCATCTCGACTTTCATTGTACCGGAGTTTCAAAGCCACAGAGCTTAGACAATTATTGTTGTATTCAGTTCCTGCTATTTTTGAGACTATTTTCACTCCTAATCAACATCAACACATGCTCATATTTCACTGCATTACACGCTTATTAAGCTCGGATTCTGTAGGAGAAGATGCCCTCGATTTTTGTGATGATGCATTTAAAATTTTTTTCTCGTTGTGTCGTCAATTATACGGGGAACAATGCCTTTCTTACAATCTACATGGCATGTTACACGTTGTTGAAGACGTAAGACGATTCGGAAATTTAGAGTCTTACAGTGCATTTCCTTTCGAAAATAACATTCGCGAATTTACCAAATATGTTAGAAAACCTCAAAGTGTCCTTGAGCAATATTATAATAGAATGCAAGAGCAAAACGACAACGTTTTACCCCGCAATAATGACATCAAAATTGTTTTAAAAAAAAATCATTGTGACGGCCCCCTTTCCAGGGATTTTAGAGTTAAAGAATGTTTGCAGTACAAACATCTTATCATCGGAAATGTGAAATTGTCATCTTCTTTAAGAGACTGCTGTTGCATTCTTCGGAATTCAACTGTGTGCGTGATCAGAAATATTGTCAAAGTTGAGGAAGAAACTTCCGCACTCAAATTTCTTTTTATGACGTCGGTTATACTTCCGCTGACGTAGGCGTTTATTTTTGTGCAAATCTTTCTGACAATATTGCTTGTGTTAATTTAGTACATATTATATCTAAATGCTATCGAATGCCGCATTGGAGTAATGTTGAGGGTCAAGAAGAGCAAGAAATGGACAATGAATTTATATGTTGTACACTACTAACACCTTTGATAATCCCTTGATTTTTTCAAACCACATGTTAATGTTAATATTTCTTGGAATTTATTGTTTTTTGTTTGTTTTGAATAAAAATTTTAATTAATTTTGAGTTAAAAATTTGATTTTTCAAAAATTTTTATCGAGATTTTTTCTGTTCATTCAGATGATATTTTATTTTATTTTAGTACATTTTTTTGTTCTTGTAATATAATCAAAGTCAACAATGAGTTCCTTCAAACCTGAAGAATATACAAAGAAGATCGTAAAAGTCAAAAGAAAAATGACTGCACAAACAAAATCGGGTCGAATTGTTTACCGCCCTCTGAAGCAAAATACTACAGAATCAGAAGAACTGCCCCCCCCAAAAAAATTAACATTTGACTTATCAGTATCTGAAGGAATACAGGAACTTCGATTAAAAAAGGACCTTTTATGGAATTGTGCGAAAAAGTCGCCTGAAAAAGTCATTGCCAAAAGGTGAGTTTAATATTTCAAAATTAAAAGTCCATTAATTTTAAGTTTCGTTAAACAAAAAAAATAATATTTTATATATTATTAACCCACCCAAAAACAACAGTAACAAAAATAAAATAATATAATAAAAAATCATTTACAATAGGTTGACTTTACAGCAAAACACCAAATAAGGAAATTTTTAAATCTTTGGACACTCAAAATCAAATTAAAATGTATTCTTCTCCCCAAGAAATAAAAGAATGCGGAACGCTGACCAACTCTGAGGTTCGAGATAGACTTGAGTAAGTACGATAAGCTGTAACTTTCTCTATATGTCGTTCTCCCTGCTACTGGAATTTGTATTAAGGATCCTTACAATTAATTAATGAACTTAATAACAGGGGGAACGACATTCATATTTTGATAAAAAGTTACTTATTTTATGTTGAATAATTCTAGGAAACTGGAAATCACTCAAATTCGCACGTTCAATTTACTTGAAAAGACGTACGCGCTCTTGGAAAGTCACATGGCGACAGAATCAAAATTACAAAGGCTGAGGAGAAAACCACGCGAAAAATTGCCAGGATTCCCTAAGAAATCAGTAGAAGGTCTTGAAGCCCTGGAAAATGAGGATATGGATATGACCAGATTGCAATTGGTAATATTTCTTATGTTTCTTGTTAATTTTCATTCAACCAAAAAAATATCTAGACTTTAATAATTTTAATATTTTCAGCAAGAACATTGGAAAGCAATTGGGGCAACGAAACTGAGAGACTTCATTAAAATTGCTCTAAATGATTCAATGGAACCATCATTAATTAAAAAGATAACTTGGACTGGGGCAGGAAATTCATACAAATTTGAAGACACCAAAATGGCCACAGCAATGTTTGGTAAATTTTTGCACTTTAAATTACTTTTGCTCACTAAATCAATAAAACTTTTTTCTTAATATATAGATGCTGCAAGAGAATGTAGTACATTTGAAGGGCCGGAAAACCTAAGGATTTTTAGCTTTGAATTTGGTCAAGCGATGAGAGTTCTAAAACAAGGTTTTAAGATAAAAGAAAATTTTCAAGAACGAAGTACTGATAACTTTGAAAATGCTGATCATGCTAAAAAGCTACAAAAACAAGGCCAAAGCATTGGTGAGCTCCAATATGTTAAAAATAATGGAAAAGTTCCCAATAAAATTCTAGAGGAGACGGATGAATATGTAATCGAATACATATCCGATTATGATAATGACGAAAACGACAATATTGAATACGTCGACCATAAAGGATATAGGGCTTCCGATGAAGAGATATAAAATTATATATTTTTATACATATATGTGTATATATATATAAACAAATGAAAAAAACATTAATTGATGATTTCTGAACCAATTTTCAAAATGTTCCAAGGTTAAAGTTAAGATTTTATTTAAAAAAATATGTAATATTACGTACATAAATAGGTACCTTTTAGCAATAAGAACATATGTTTATTAACGTCTAACATCAGTGTGTTCTAAACACTTTCTTTTTAAGATACATGCCTTTACCTTAAAAAAATTGTCTAAAACATGCTTAAGGGTACTTTTTACCTAAAATATTTTATATTTTAAAAATCACCCGTTCAAAGCTTTTTGTTTAAAAAACACTGTTTTATTAAAATACATTGTCAAATAATTAGGTATATAATTATTTAACATACACATATACAGGGTGTCCCAAAAGTCAACAATATCCTTTGGAGGACTGATAGACCAACTCATGACTAACCAGAAAATCAAAACATGACCTTAGTAATAAATCGTTAGTTTTGAGATATAGTAATTTTTATGAATTTTGTAAAACTTGACACCTTAGATCGGTTTTTCGAGTGCCACAGCTACAAAATCTACTATTAGTTTAATTTTAAATTGTAATTAATAGCAGGCCTATTCAGGGTTACACAACAAAATATATATTTTATGTTGTGTAATTATATAATCTAAGAATATAGAATTTTGTAGATGTGGCACTCAATAAACTGATCTTATGTATGTGTCAAGTTCCACAAAATTCTTAAAAACTAATGATTTTTTACTAAGGTTATGATTTGATATTCTGATTAGTCATGAGCTGACCTATTAGTCCTTCATAGGATAACACTGACTTTTGGGACACTCTGTATGTACATATTTTTTTAAATAAAATTTTAACTTTAACCTGGGTTGGAACATTTTGAAAATTGGTTTAGAAATCACCCATTAAGGTTTTTTGCATTTGTTTTTATAAACTTTGCACGTATAGTATTTTATCCCTTCATCGGAAGCCTTGTATTCCTGATCTGCGCTATAACAAAGAAATATCTTTGTATAGAGATAAAAATTAAATATTTTTTTACTTGGTTACTTAAGTAAGATCCTAATAATTATTAGGTTCTTAATTAAATTAGGCAAGTAAAAAATACTTCATTTTAATTTGTTTAGAAAGATATACCTTTATTATAGCTTTATTTGTTATTAATTAATTAATATATATTAAACATTTGGCTTGTAACATAATTTGTACTTAAAATAAAATGAAAAATAATAATACAACCTTGATTTTTTGACATCTATAAATTAAAAATCCCGCCATATTTAAAAATCGTATGCGCATGCGCAAGTTTCTTTTAACGAAATTCATTTATATGCATCCATTCTGCACTCACTATGAATACACAATAGGATGCTAAAATGAGCTCATAATTTTACTTCGAGTGAATGCATATATGCATCCATAATGATTTCACTAATGTTATCTGGGTAGTTATTTATGGGTATTTTTTTTATCTTTAATTACCCAGGTAGCAAAACTTGACGAAACCGTGACGATTTGTGAGCAATCGTCACGGTTTTGTCACGTTATGCTACCTGGGTATAACGTATAATTAAAAAATAATTTCTTTACATTGACAGTATAACCTTTAACTATGATGATAATCTTGCAGATTGGTTTAAAATTTAAACACGCAATGCCTCTTACGAAGCATTTGTAGCCCACTTGGTATTTTGTAGATTGGTAGAATAATAATTTTCAAATTAGTAAAATCTTTTTTTACCTGTTTTCACTTCTCATCGTTTTTCGAGGTTATAACTCCGTACAGGCAATCTATGCAACTTTATTTTACTTAATTCCTATTTCTTATGTTTTGTGTTCAATTACAACCTTTCTGAAATTATTATTTTTACTTTTAAACAATGTTCCTCTTCTACTGTGTAATGACCTTTTCCTTCCGGGATTTAGCCAGCTGAATCTTCTTCTTTCTCCTTTTCCTCTTGATTTTATATTATTTTTTTTTAATTATATCACTTATCTTCTTTCTAGTCCATTTTTATATCAAAATTATTTATTTGACCATTTCAGTTCATTCTTAATACGTCTTCTTATGGCTATTTGCTCGTATAACATCAATCTTGAAAAACTTCGACCATCTCTTGTGGAAATCTTTTGGAACTTTACCAATCTAATGTAGATTATGAGATTTAAACATTTATCAGCTTATTTTTGTGTGCTCTGGGCCCCATATTGTCCTCCCAAGGACCCCTGTCACTTCGGCGAACAATACAGAACTGGTGTTTTAAAAAATGTTCACTGACACTGTCTGTCTGACAGTTTACAATGGTGCCAACTACAAGCGCTCGCATCGACATTACTTCTAACTTCGCACCCTTGCAAAACCTATAAGCAACATACCTTTTCCTCAATAAGAATTTAACCTTTACAATTATCCGATTTAAATTGATTGGTCAATAATATTGATTAACCATTTATTAAAATCAGCACTATCACTATTCATAACCATTCACAAAATATTATAATTCCAATCGTCAAATTTCCCATTATTCTTTATTAAAAAATATATGATATTCAACCATAAAAAACTATTAACTAATAGCAAAAATTGCATACGTGTATTTTGCTAATAGCAAATAAGTACCCAATAAGCTCTAAAATCCTCATTCGGAAAGATTAATGTATTTTGAGGACGGGTAAAGGTATTTTCCTTATTCAAAAATTAAAAAAAAGATTTTTCTTATTAAAAACCATTAATGCTGATGAGAAACTTTGGCAAATAGTTGTTTTCCTGATAAACAAGGATTAACTCATAGGGTGCCGATTGATTTTCATTAATGAAATGGCAATAATCCACCAATACAGATTTGAAAACTCCTCATTCCTTAAATACTTTTTTTTTGAATACTTTTTTTCAGCTGGGGCGTCTTGTAAAAGTTAATTCTAACCTTGCTACTGCCAGACTATTGCAAAGGGGCATAGTTGCTAATTATTTTGCTTAACAAAACACTCATTTTTTTGTAATTTGTTAATTTTTAATAATTAATTGCACAAACTTTTAATGAAATAACCTTTAATTTGAAGTACCTAACTAGAGAATGAATTATAAATAACGCCCCAAGCCATAACTCCATTATTTTTAAAGAAATGATAATACTTCTTGGAACAAAGTTTATTGTCATCTATTTTTTTAGATAAATGCTTATGCCCGTATGCACCGTATGGACTTAAGCTTGATTAAGAGTTTAATCTCGCTTTGTTCTAAAGTTTGTCATGCACCGCGCGAAAAATGTAGTTTAAGTGTTCGATTACGAGATCCACCGGCGAGGTAGGTTTAATCGCATAATTAACTGATTTTCTAACCAAATTGATTAGTTTGGTTAGGGTTGGGCTTTCGTTGTAGTGGATTTCAAGAACTAGTATAATTAAATCATGTATTTAAAAGAAGAACTATTTGTAGAAGATGATCAAGATATTCTGGACATAATTAATTTTGTATTTCCGCGACGAAATTATGAAAGGAGCGAATATTTTGACACCATGGACAATTTTTCGCGTATTTCGATTGACTAAACCCACCGTTCTAAACTTTCTTAATGAAATTGAATATTGAAGCCCAGTTCTGTTAGTTTTTTTGTCTTCCAACATTTTAGAATACCTCATAACAATCATCATTAGATTTTCTTTTTCCGCTGGTGAAAAGTAAGGAATTCTGTCTTCCATTTTATAGACAGACGAAGGATGATCTAAAAAAAAATTTCTATATAAAAACTATTGGATATTAGGCATATAACAAAATTTAAATTTTAGTTTGTCAACATAGTTTGTTTCTCTATGGTTGTCAATCGATTGGAATTTACGATTGACAGTTTTTTGTGGTTTTGTGACAATTAAAACAGTTTTGCCAAATCGCCAATCCAGATTGCACAATCCGCGTACGGTGGATTATGATGGAGAAAGATTAACATAATCGCGATTTGCTAACTCGGCTTGGGCTTTAAAACGGTGCATACGGGCATTAATAAAAAAATAGAAAAATAGAAATTTTTAAAAATAATGGAGTTATGGTTTGGGGCGTTTTTTATAATTCACCTTGTAAAAGATAACTAAAAAACTTAAAGGCTGATGGCAGTTGATCTTGGATCTGCTTCAAAGTGGCAAGTATTTATGTTGGATATTAAGTTAATTTAAATTTACTGCGCGAAAAGTAGGCAGATATAATTTTTGACATAAGTTTTTATTCTGTCAGTTGTAAATTAATTTTGTAAAACAAAACCATTTTACAAGTTACATTAATTTTCAATTAAATACAGTCCACGGACAGCAAGTTACTATATGAACGTAAAGAAGGAGCATTCATAAATTCTGATCCTTACGAACCGATGATGAAACGGCAGGCGGAAAAATTGGCATTTTTTCCAAAAGAAGTTTACAACACTACACCGACGAATTGTGTACCTGTTGAAAACGTGGGTAAGTTATACAATACTACACCGACGAATTGTGTATCTGTTAAAGATAACGTAGGCAAGTTTTACAACAGTACTCCAATGAATTGTGTACCTGGTGAAGACAAATAAGTGAGTCAATTTCTTTATGACTAATTCCCTAAACAGTTCTACCTGGCAAGGAAGATTTAGACAAGTTTGGTAAAATTTAATTTAATTATGACAGAAAATACAGCTTTTAAGCAAAAAGAGCTTAAATTAGGAGTAGTTTGACTAGATTAAAAAATTTTGTGAAAAGTTTAGATCAAAATAATTTGACAGATATTCAGTACAACGAGTTAAACTTCAGGTTAAGTAAATTTGAACCAAGTTATGATGAGTTTACTAGAATACAATCATGCTTTTGGAGACTTTGACTTTGTCACCAGAACAAAAATGTCAGGAACTTGATGAAAAAGATTTTTTGACGATTATTTTAAGTTAGTTGCTCAGGCTAGGACATCCATTAACAAGTACGAGTTGGCGCAAAATGAGTTGCAACAAAAGGAGTCAAATCATATTGTCACAAAGTAGCGATCACAGATCTCAAGGTCATAATTATGTTTCCCCTAAAATTAATTTACCTTCGTT